GCTGCATAAATTAAGGAAATTTCAAATGAAAATATGCTTTTGCTGTCTTATCAGACCGACAGCACAAAGCATCCGCTTTCTTGGAACAGTATCCAGTACTCACTGACTATAAAGCTTAAAAGAAAAAAAAAAGAATTCTGGTTTAGATTCACTCTCTCATATCCATGGATCAGTCTGTGCAGCATGTGCTACTTCAAGCTTTTTGCCTGGATTAGGCGAAACATTTTTAAGACATGATTGGTTTCCTGTTAAATAGAGTTGGTTGTCAATTCAGGTTTCTCCATGATGGTTCTGCCAAAACAAAAAGACTGCCTTCTTTTTATTTTCTGTTTATCTAAAGCCATTTCCAAAGTTTTTCAGTTTCCCATAAACAAGACATCTGCTTTTCTGGCTAGCATTCTCCAGAATCAATACATACTCATTCTTTCCTCAGACCTGTAGCTGTAAAATAACACATTTAATTAAAACTGGTTATCTAGTTCATTGTCTCAGATGTACCATTTTTCTAAAGAGACATTCCTCTGGAATGTTTTACTTTCTGACTTCAATATCAAGAAGTGACAATGGTTTCCATCAGCATTTTGGTCTACGACTTGCAGATAGAATAAGGGAATGGTAACTTGAGTGAGAAGACTACTCTGGCATAATGGAATCTTACTTTGATCAACATCTGTACCACATGCAATATGGTTTCAATTTGAGACAGGGAACTCAGTGACATTGCCAAGGAACTTTGTACATCATTGGTTATTTTATTTGGGCTAGAATGGTACATAGCTTATGATCCCATCTTTCTGCCAGAATACCATGGTGACTCACTTTGTACTCTGCAACTTGATTTGGGAGTTTGGCAAATGGATTCCTAAACTAATAAAGTTGGGAGTATGTAAGTGGGTCACTTGAAAATTGTCTTCCTTTAAGCAGGGTGTTTTTAAATACTCTGTGGATCTTTCCATTTCTTCAAATATGGAGACACCCTCCCAAACACATCTGTCAATATCTTTTGAATATAGCACATGGTATAAGATTTAATGAGTGTCATTTACTCAACACATTCCTGTACTAAGTGTAAACAGCCTTTAAGTTAACTATATTAATATCAATAACAGAATTGCCTATGTGAAATGTAACACCATTATGGGTCCAACATATGCACATTGCATAGTATATAAAAAGGCATCCCCAAGAGTTGTTATGATTAATGCCAAAAATATGTCTACCTCACAATCCCATTTCAGCACACCCTACTTGGATCTTTCTGAACATACTTTTAAAAATATTTACTACTGTTGCAAATATGGACTTAATTATACCTACTATAAACAACAACAAAAATCTCATTAAAATCTATTTTGGTAATCTTCAGTGGCCTTGATACAGGTTTAGATTTCCCATAGTGTCTTAGAAATATCCTATTTACAATTAGTCACATTCAGCAACATACATTGATTACATAGGCTTTGAAAAATTATCTTTCTTAAAAGATACAATTCAATTTTTCAAATGAAAATGTCTACGATTTCTCCATCAGTAGATATATTATATTATGAATAAACAGAATCCCTTGCTACTCTATATCTTAATATGTTTCTTTTACTATTCCTCCAGTTTTGGTTGGTCCTAAAAGTCAATCATTGTTAGCACAGATATTCATCTCAATTGTACAGGTCTCACTTAGTCTTCTGGATCTTAGATGTCAATGATGTCAATGTAGAGGGAATACATCTTGACTTTCTCAGGATTTAATTTCCATCTGAAGATTTGTCTCAGCAGTGATTGTGTTTCTGGACCTATCTTTAATTGTTATTCTCACTCAATAACTTCACACATACTCATCCTGAAACATTTTTCATGCAGTCTTTGATGATATGTTGACAACAGTCTGGCCTCACTGACTCTCCGGCTATTTCCCTAACCTGGAGCACTGTCCTACTCCAGTCTTCCCTGCATCCCTGCCTCTGCCTGAAATGGTGTCATGCATGTCCATGGCTTAGTCAGTTCTCTACTTAGATGTCACAGGCACAACATGGTCTTCCGAAGCAACTTATCTAAAACAGCATGCACACTCTCAAATCAGCCTATTTTTCCCTTAACCTACTTTCATTGCTTTGATAGCACTTGTCCTTCCTAGATATTGCCCAGCATAATTATTACTGTATTTATTGTTGATTGCAATCTCCTCTACCAGAAAGCTTGTTCCATCAAGGTAGATACTTTGTTTCTTTCACTGTATTGTTCCTATGAGCTACAAGATTGTCTGGCATATAAATATAGGGCATTCATTCTTGTTTGTTATTCAATTTAACCCAGGATGCTCAACTTCTTTGTCTCTCAATTTATTTTTGTGTTAAAGAATATTGTACTTAATGGTTTTTAGCATGAATATATTTGTTTTCAATTATTATCGTAGATGCCCAGGTTGTGTTAAGAATGAATAACTGATTCTCTTTTGCATGCATCAAATTTGCTAGAACCTAGTGCCTTTCCCTCATTATAAATAATTAAAAATACCAAATTCATATATAGCAGTGACCTATTATAATTGGTCTGATAATCCACTACAACTATTAGCTGTTTAACTGTATCCATGGTTAATAATGTGGCATTCCATTCAAAGTATCTTGAAGGGACAGACACTAGATTAATCATCAGCTGCAATGTTTTACTTCACATTGAAAAGCCTAATAATGTGTTAAAATGTATTTCATTTCTAGGTTTATTTTTCCTCAGGGAAAGTAAATTCAGTCATCTTGAAATGTTAGCTCTTTTAAAACTGAATCGAAGCATAAAATAAAATGGGCAAAGAAAAACTGCATTGCTGAATTATTGATTCAACATTTTAAAACAGTCTCACTTTTCACAGATTCAAGTTACAATAATGTTAAATTCAAGCAAAATAAAATGCATTTTACATGACAGTAATGATTTATTCTTAGATGGAATGTCTGGAAGTAATAAAGTTACTAAGTGGTGTATTTTATTTTCCCTTATAAATAAAATATTTATAAAGGACATAACTTTCAAGAGTGTAAACATTGTGTTTCTCATCAACTTTGTTGTTGGTGGCCATTTAGTTAACAACATGTAACTGAGGAGTTGTGCTCCAGGAGCTTCTAATTTTCCATTTGTCAAAATGGTTTTGCTTTATCTTAATACGCTATCAGTAAATCAGCTATTTTAGAAAATTCTAGTAACAATCTTGACAGTCACAGCAGTATTCTCCATAAGAACAGGATGGACAGATCTCTATGTCTTGCTGCTTCTCCAAAAGCATGGGCCCTGTGACTGTGTTCACTTGCTGTTGTTCCTGCCTGGAAACATTTCTCTGGGTATTCAGGTTCCCATTTGAAAGTAACATTACCTCCATAACAAAGACACAAGAAGAGCCAAGTGAATGAGTGACTATATTTAGGAAATCCAATAAACCCTTACAGGACAAAATTAAAATTCTGGGGTCATAATTTTTTGTGTGAACGTGCAGGTTACTGTTAACCATTTAGTTGTAGGAACTGTTGCCCTGTCAAATTACCTATAATAATCTCTCTTCTAAATAATATATGTTAGCTCATAAATTCAATAAATTAAGTATTAATATCCTTTTTCAGCGAGATCTTCCTTTCATAGATTTCTGATTTGTTTTATTTAACTATAAATATTGTTATTGCTTTAGTGGAAAAGATTCTTAGAAGAAAGGGAAACTAGAAATTTTCCTAAAAGAATGCCATCTTTTTTCCTAAAGTGGGATTGATTAATAAGGAGAATAGTAAGAATTCTAAATTACAAAATAATTCTTAGAGGAAAAGCATATGGAATCTTGATATCAAGTTCTCTCCCCTTACCCTTTATCTATAATCATGCTTAACATTTTACTTTCAGCTCTTCTGAATTACAGAGTTTATATCCTCGAGGATTGACATGATTCAGGTTTCCACCAGGAAAAAAAATGCATTTTGTTTACACAAACTGACTAACATGCTTCCATATAAATTAATAATACTGAAATTCATGGAAAAAATTAAAATATATTGGCTCGTTGCAGATGGCCACAAAAAAATTAATATCTTATGTTCAGTATCTAAATCACTAAATATCATGATTTAGGCTAAGCCATTTTATTTCCTATTCTGAAACACAAAATAATCTCAACATTATTAAACGACAAAAAAACCAGATATCTCAATATATAGATATCTATTGTCAAGTACTTCATTCACCAAAAATTTTACATATTGAAAACTCTTCTCATTGTGGTACAGTCAGAATTAAAGGAGAGAATCCTTAACAAATATAAAATGGGAGGCAGATTCTTCATTCCAAAATGTTCTGATGTTGTCAGGTAAGTTCTAGAAGTCTTGTTCTTTAAGGTATAACTGTTTATACACAAATGGATCCTGTTCTGTACTATTCTTCAGAATTGTTTCACTGTTGGGGGCTACAAGGAAATAGAAGTTTGTCTCAGCTCAGACAGCATGTGAAATTTGTTTAGGCAGTATGCAGCAGAATGATCAATAAATTAAAGACAGGTATGTGTAGAGAGCTTTGGCTGTCATTCCTCCTACCTACCACTGGACTTAGAAAACCTTGAACTGGATCCTTGGAGAAAACCTGAGCCAGATGTTTTTCCATAATTAGCTTTAATTCATTGCTGCTTCTATAACTCTAACCCTAGTCAAAAGCTGACTTTCAGGGAATATATTCTACTGGGAACTTGCTGGAATGCTCAAACCAGGTTCATAACAACATTAGACCCCAAAGACCAAGCTAGTCTAGACTCACTCTACTCCAGGGAAGTCTAAGAGATCTGACAAGTAGGAATGCTCTAAAGTGACCTTAAAATATCCCTTCTGGCAACTATTCAGTTGTAATTTTTTAAAAAAGAAATGATGCTGCCCATATATGTAGTTCAATTTGCTATACTCTTAATAAGTAGAAGATATTCTCAATTGGGATTGCAAAGAGTACAGAAAGATGAAGAAATAATATTCACTGTGAATACAAAGTATTTTAAATAAATATTTTAATTCTATTGTTGGCATTTACAAGTAGAAAGCATACAGTATGTTACAAATATCAAAATGTGAAATATATGAACGTTACATAAGTAACAAATGTAAAAAAGTATTTTCTTACCTTCCCTGAAAGTAAGAAAACTATTCAGCATAGGAAAATATCAGTATCAAAAACACAGCTTAGGTGTAAAAAAAAGTTTTTACACAGTATTAAAAAATGATCTACAAAATGACAGAAAGTAAGAACTGTTGCAATTTGACTTTATATAAATTATAAAAACTGGGTACTTGGGGTAAATGTTGAGTGGATGAAAAATCAGTCCAATCACAGGGTTTGCTTAGATCAATTTGTTAGAATGGCAAGAACCATAGAATTTTCTTTTTCAATAAATAACTTTTCAAAGTGTCTCTTAGAAGTGATGTTGAGAGCATCATTCCACAGTAGGAGGGGGACAGTGTTTTGGAGACAGCATGCAGTGATTTTGTTCCTCATGGAAGCCTGAGGAAGGTCAGGAGGCCACAAACATTTGCAAAACGATTCAGAAGTTTTAAACTAAATTTTGTAAGAAAGCATTAAAGTGCTGAACAAAAATGATGTAATTTTAGTACCCACTGTCATATAACACTTAAGCTAATTACTTGGCCATTTCTGAGCAACATCAAATATGGAATCTAAAATTCTGAAAAGTGTTAATGCTTAGTCTTTTGTTCGAGAATAGGAAGGCTTTTTTCTACACTTTACAAGGGTCGGTTAAACCTCGAGGATCTTGCAATGTAAAACATAATTATAATAATACAATGGAAACAATACATAGAACCCCACTGTGAAAGCACATGTTCCTTTCTGCAATAGTAACAGTATTAATTTCAAAAATCACAACCCAAACACTGGTAAAGAAGCAACACTTTCCAAATGCTGCATGCCACATAACTAGTTACAAAGTACAATGCATGCAGGAAAACAAATTCACCAAGCATGTTTAAATTAAAGAGTTGTTTTGAGTCTGTTTCAGCAGCATTGAGGTTATTATTTCTTAACATTTCTTTCAACCACCAGTCCATACTGGCCTGTTTTGTTAAATGCACCCAACCACGTCTGCAACTTTACAGTGTTTCGGGTGCTTGTTGTTTTGTTTTAATTTTTGTAGAGCCAGTACGCACCCTTCACACATACTGTTCTGCTTCCCCATCTTTGGGGACTGGCTTAGTCGCCCCACTTTTACTGTCTTCATTTGCTGCTGCTTTTTCTGGGAGAGACGCCAGATCTTTAAAAACATCCACGTAATGGCCAAAGCCAGGACCCCAGTTCAAAAGGTTGTCCCAGTTGAAATTCCCTGCCTGCTGCCCCAGCTTCAAGGGCAGCGTGGGGTCCGCAGCCCCTGGAGCTGTCGCCTGGGTGCTCACGGGACAGCCCTCGGCCCTGCGGCCATGGTACCTTCGAGGCTTCAGTCTGGCTCCGTAATTATCTTCATCATCTGCATCCGATTCATTGACTTGAGATAATTTGGGCATCCTGGAAGTGTACACCACTGGCTTTTCCCTGTCGTATTCCATCTCTGAGCAAGTGAAAGACTCGTGCGAGTCGCTGTCTGAAGAGGACTCCGGCGCGGGGATGCCGTCGGCGGGGTTCCTGGTCCTGGACAGGGGCCTGCGACAGTCCTCCTCCGAGGAAGACCTTCCGTGGTCCGCGCTGCAGATGCTCGGGTTCCTCGGCCGAGGAGTGTTGAGCCTCTCCACCTCTTCAATGGAGAGCCCCACGGGAGGGGACGACTCCAGGGGAATCTGCCCGATGGGCTGCTTCAGGCGACTCCCGGGCCTGGAACCGTGGGGCGCCACGGCCTGGGGGCTCTTGCTCCTCCGCCCCAGCCTCGTGGCATAGTTGAAGATGCCGGGTTGGCAGGTGTCGCCGTGCATCTCCAGGGTGCTCCCCTCCCTCATCGGAAGGTGCAGCTCCCTCGCTGGGCTGTTCCTGTAGAAAGTGGAGGACTTAGAGAAGGGGCCCGGGCTGTGCCGAGACAGAGGGTTGGGCGTCGGGCAGGCCGAGTGGCTGAGGGAGCCGGTCCGCAAGCCCGGGCCGTAGGAAGCCTGGTAGGTCAGACTGCTGGCCCCCAAGGGCATGGGGGACTGGCGGGCAAAGCCCAGGGGGCTGTGTCGCTGGATGGAGAACTTGGGCGTGTGGCTGCGGAACTGCTTGTAGTGCTGGATGATGTCGGCGTCCGAAGGGGCGATGCTGCTGGCGTTGTCAATGTCATAGTGTTCGATCTCCTGCTCCGGGGACGCCAGAGGGGCGCTGGGGATGGTTTCCGAGCTGTGGGGGATGTCAGTCTCATCGTAGATAAGGTAGGGGTTTTCCCTCTCGATGATGTCAGGCTTCGGGTTGCCCTCGGGCTGCTTCCTGACGGTCATGTCATCCCCATAGGGGGGAATATTGTCTGGATCATCGAAAGCGACGTTCTCGCTGCCCTTTTTCTTCTTCTCCTTCGGTTTCTTCTCATCCTTGGGATTTTTGGCCTTCCTTCCCCTGCACTGATTGCACAGAATCAGGCTCAGGACCAGGAGAGCCAGGACCGTGGCGCAGCTGCCCACGATGGCAGGCACGGCCCACAGGGGCAGCGAGATCTCCTCGGGGCTCTGGCTGGGAACACAGACGTGCCCGCCAGGACTTCCAGCTTTGCACACCTTCCCCTGAGGACAGAGGATGCCGAGACAGGCCACCACCGTCTCACAGGTCCTCCCTGTATGCGACTCCAGGCAGCTACAGGTGAAGCCGGAGTGCAGGCCTGGCTCGCAGCTGCCCCCGTTCTGGCAAGGGTGGGAGGCACAGTCGCCAGGGGGCACGCACTTGTAGGCATACCACTGATTGATGCACAGTAAGTCGCCCCAGCAGGGGTTGCTGGCGCAGATGTTGGGGCCCCGACAGCCAATCTTTACAGAGGGATCCGTTTTGGAGATGGAAGCCAAGCTGTGCTTCCCACTGAATGGGAGACTTTCTCCCCCATACAGCACTGATGCAATGCAGCCATTGAAACCTGCAGGGGGAAAGTAGCAGGACGACTTTAAAAACAAAACAAAACACCAAAGGCTTCAACACTGCAACACAGGGATCTGGTCACATAGCTTCACAGGCACCTCATGAAAGTTTAGAAACGACAGCCCTCAAGTTACCCTCCCATTCAAAGGCTGGAAATCTGTGCATCTTCTGACATAACTCAGCAAGATGTGTAAAATTTCCGTGACAACAAACAGGGAGCGGATGGCTTGGATCGCGCATATTCTAAAGACTAGGAATGATTCAGGCAGGCTGGATTTTCTTTGTCTCTTTCTTTCATCTATTTAATTATTTACTTGTTCTATTTTTATAGTCCATATACCAAAAATTACATACATAGAAATCAATTCTATTTTTGTAGACATATAAATAACAACCAAAAAAAGGCCAAAAGCTTCAACTACAAGGTCATGTATTAGCCAATGGATATAATATTCCTCCCGAGGAGGCAAACAGAGGCTTCTGGGGACCAGAAGAAAAATCTTACCTATATTACAATTGTTTGTGGGCATCTGAAGTGTGAACAGAGAGTGTAACTGTAGCATCAATAATTCATGAGATGAAAATAGAAATGGCAGGGATTAGAAAAAAATTATCTAAAATGGCTCCTTAAGAATAATAGTGGTAAAAAATAAAGTTAAATACTTCATTAGATTTGGGTGCACTCTGGCTGTTAACATTCCTGTGTAACAAAACAGGCATTCCACCCAAGTGCCAATTCCTTACCTGATACCCTGTTTTTCCACAGGTTTTAGTGACATCTCCCATTTTTCTTCCTACACTTCTGGAATTCTTTCTATTACTCTGTCTCCTTTTTTAACTCTTTCTCCTCTAAACAAATGTAGAGTTACTCAAGGCCAGGCCCTGGGCTTTCTTTTCACTCTCCATCCTCATGTTGGTGATCACACCCATGCTCAACACTGCAAATCCCTCAGTGTATATTTTCAGCATAATTCTATGTCTGAGTGCCAGCCACCTATCCAAAGGCCTTTCTCAAAGATACCTCAAACTGAAAATTTTTCAAAACAGACTGTTGATGTTTTCCAGAGATATGTTTCTTTTTGCATTCTTCTACAGCTTCCTCTCCTGGTGACACTAATCTTCTTTGAGTTGAAAGCCAGAAATCTCCCTGAGTTTTACCCAAATCATCAACAGTTTGGTCAGTTTTAGTTCCTAAAATACTATTTCTTGTCTATCCACTTATCTCTCCTCCTTGTTATCACATTAGTTGAACCTCAAACAATAGATACCTTACCCAGATTACTGCAGTTCCTTCCCAGATGATTCCTGCAAATTCACTTGCTTCCTCCTGCAATTACTTTTTATATTGTAGCCTGCAAGATCTTTGCTACTATGCATATCTAATCTTGATGGCTGGTGCTTAATTTGTTTAATAACTTCCCACTGTTGTACAAGTAAGAAAAACTACACCATGGTTTAAAATTCCCAGCTTTTTTCTCCAACTTCACCTTTTGCCTGTGACATCGGCCACCAATATGTTATGTTCTCCCACCTTGACTTAATCTGCTTTTTAAAATTCCCTTTAATATAAATTAATCTTTCTTACTTTTTCCTCCTCTCCCTCATCATTGAGATCTAAATGCACATGTAAATTTCTCAGGTAGTTTTCCCTTTCTTCTTTTTCTTTCAAAATCTCTTAAAAGTCTACCTTCTTTCTTCACATCACTTATGACAAATTCAAATAATCTGTCTGTGGAAGGGATTGGTTGATGTTTGCATCCTGTTTCAAGTATGCCACAGGGGTGAGTGGCTGTGAATGAATACAGGAGTGGATGGTTAAAGTAATGGTTGGTAGACAAAGCAAGGTACTATCTGAGCAGTGGGGCTGAATTATGATCTTAGTAAGACAGATAGATGCAAATGGCTGATAATTTATTATAAAAATTTAAAGGTAGTTATGATAGTCTTAGAATATTCATAACTGAGTATCAGAAATCCAATTATTGCAGTAAAATAAATTATACTCTAATAAAATTGTACAAGGGATTTATGCTACATAGATCTTATTGCTTACATCACAAAAATCACCTACTTTCTGGGCAACAATTTTTCTTTTCTTTATGACACTTCTCAACAAAGCATTTACCTGTTTGAGTATCTCTATGAGCTTGATTGGGTGGAATTCCACCAAGAGACATGGTAAGCACATCAAGGCCACCAAAATCCTGAGTAGGGTGGGTGATATCTCTGTTATATATTCTGTCAATGGACAATACTGTGGAAGTTCCATTTTTCCCTATTAGGAAAGTGTGCCAGTGGCCATCTGCAACATACACTTCAGGAATATTTCTCTCCACTTTCCCGGCAATTCCTGCATCTGATGTAAAATGTACTTTGCCATTTTTGACCTGTAAAAGATATTAAAAATAATGTGCAATCAAAGTACATGTTTAAGTAAGAATATTTAATGGAATTAAACCACAAATATCCATCAATCAAAAGCATTTGGAACAGCTGAGGAGTCTGGTGATATTACACTATACTTGTACATATTGTCTATATGGTTTTAGGTAATATGCAGTTTTATGCTTACTGGTTTTGATGATTTTCAAAGATATTCATAAGATATTTATGCTTAGTTACTTCACATGCATAGAATTATTTGCCAGAACATAATTAAGATAATGACAGAATGACAGCTTTTTGTAATTATATCCCAATGGCACTGGCAAATGTGTTATATGGGTCAGTTTAGTAAAAGACCCAGTGATAAAAAATGTTATACCACTTCATAATGAAAACTGAATGCTCCCCTATAAAACAAGCATAGTTGTAAAACTAAAGATAAAAATAAACATTTTTGCCTCTCATCTATTACACACTAAAAGTTTAAGACAAAATGATGCCTATTATTTATTTATATCATTTTGACATGGAAAATGAGGATGAAGAAAGAAGGAATTCTTAATGATGAGGTGTCTGGGACAGTCTTTGCTTTGCCTGTCTTTTCCATTTATCTAAGGAATATTTGGTTTCCTTCACTTCACTCAGTAGAACATTGGGTAACAAGATGCTCCTACTCCAGTTTCCAGCCACCAAGTTTCCAGTATTATGCGTAGACTACTTTAGAAATGAAATAATTTATGAGGTAAGATGTATATTTGGTTCAAGGAGCATAATCCCACAGCAACTGCCAGATAAAGCTGGTGTTTTGGCAAAAGGAAGAAGTGGCACTATGCCTCGAATGATGGGCATGAAAAGATGGATCAGTTTATTTTGTCACTCAGATCAAATGCTATTTCTACAAGCAACAAACACATCTGGTAGAACTAAAAATCAATTCATTTGTACTTTGTGGAAAATATGCCTAACATATTTACATACATTAGTCATATAGTGATACTTTATTAAAGCAATTTTTCCAGATCACAATGTATTTCAAAATCAGATAGGAAAAAAAAGGGAAAATTCTAGTTAAATGACAGTAACATTTGATCAAATGGGTGACAACTGATGACATAAAATAAAAATAGCAATGCCTTTTTTTTTTTGGTACTGGGGATTGAACTCAGGTCCTTGCGCTTGCGAGGCAGGTGGCGGAACCACTGAGCTAAATCCCCAACCCAGCAATGCCTTTTTAGTTATAGTCAGAGCCCTTTTTGAAAGCATGGAAAGAGCCTTCTCTCGCCTCTGGGTTTCTCTCTTAATCATATCATGTCATCTTTTGATTCAATTAGTTTTTGATGAGAGAACACTTGGTATACACCAAAGAATCAGAGGGAAATGAGTGAGAATACAAGTTCCCATTATAATATTCTGAAAGTTTTCTCTTTTCCTAATAACACTCCATCTAACACACATCTTTCCTAACTTCCAAAACATCCTGTATGTTTGTTTTATTTGCTTGGTTATTTATTCACATAGTATATTGTTATTTATTTTCAATTCTATAGCACTCTGAATCCCTATTCCAATTCTATACCTTCACTCACACAAACAAAGCAAAACAATAGAACTGATTTGGAGTAGAAACAAACCTCAACATCTGATTATTATTAAATAATTCCACATATGGAACCACATGATATGCCATGAGTGGAGGTTTGCAAAACGCTGTAAGTATAGTGTCACATAATTACCCACAGATACACTTCTTTCTAGCTTTCTCTCTGAAACATTCTCTTCTTAATCTACCAGGCAGAACCTATGTAGAAAACATATTCTGCTCACTCCTCACACTGTTACCTCTTGATGGCTTCTCTTAACCTTTAACCAGACAGAATCCCATTTATCCAATGCTCTTTCTCAATTTCGCTGTGTATGTATGTGTATGTGTGTGTGTGTTTGTGTGCCTGTGTGAAAGATACACTCAGAATAGGGAAAAATATAAGAAAGAAAAAGAAATATTCAATAGATAAACTCCCCACCCAGAAAAAAGGAAGGAAGCAAGACCCAGGTGCCTTGGTAACTATCTGATAAGCTAACTGATGAGTGACAAGTAACTATCCATCTTAACTAGTTGTCTAGCTTTTATAAGTACATTATATTCCTGTCATCCCAATAATTTTCCTGCTGAGAACTACTTTCTTTAACTCCAATTCAACATACTGGCTGTTATTTTCTTCATCTATTCACTTTACCTTCCCAGTCCCTTAATCTCTAAGAAGCTGCTTTTCAAAAATTAGTCATTTTTTTTATTGTACTGGGGATTGAAGCATTAGTCATTGTTATTAACAAACAGTTACTTTGCCTTCAGGAAAAAATTTCTTTGTTAAGTGTTTACTACCAATGTAACAAAATCTTGAGAAGTCACAAGCTGCAGTCCAATAATTCATGGTGACAAAAATAGATCCGTGACATTCAGCTCTCCTTAAGGAGGAAAAAATTCCGTTTGACTTCTTCAACCACATTGAATTTTGACTGAAGTCTTTGGCATAAAGAGATAACATACAGAGATATTTCATATGTCATTTGAATGGCATGGGGACTTGGAAGCAGTTTAACAGATAATCCACAGTCCTCAATGTCAAAGCCTCTCAAAACACACAAAAATGTTTCTTGTAGATAATGAAATTCTATTTCTTTCTTCACTTCTTTACTTTCTTTGCTTTTAATGTACTTTTCAATGAATATAATAAATACAAAATTATAGTGTTATACTCCCTTTATTCCAATCCTACCAAATAACATATTCATATAAATGTTTATAATAATTCTCAGGGAGAAACATTTTCTATTTCAAAGATATATTATCTTTTGTTTTCCTTTGTTTAAAAGTAGGAGGGAAGCAATATAAATTTTTATAAGACAAAATATATTCCAAACAATTATTTCCTTGTTGGCCTACCTGGCAACTCTACTCTAAACCAAGACAAAAGTGTACTGAAACCAACCCATTTGCATCTTTGTTACTCTGGCTAATGCTTGAGGAATAGTTAAGATAGATGGCACTGGAGTAGTGCCCAGCACTGGTCAGAACTCTAATGGCTTGTAAAGAAAAGGACAGAAATTATGGAAGAAGTGCTTTAAACCATGACACAGCAGGCAGTCTAATCAAACGAAGTCACCATTAGTTTTTCTCTTACCTTCACAGTGGTATAATTGCTGCTTTCTTGGATATGGACTAAAATGCCATTCTCACTTCTTGTCCTGAATTTTACTTCCAGTCTGTTCACACCAAAAGGCTCCAACATAGTACCTCGTATGCTCTGTCTTAACAAATATTCCCGCTTCTCATTCTGACTCATGTGGTAGTCTAGGCGTCCTTTGCCTTCTAATGACAAGGCAGTGTCAGGTGTAAGAGCTGAAAGTAAATGAGGAAAAGGAAAAATAAGAGCATCCACTAGGAACTTCTCAGATCATTTTCTAGAGTTACAAAATATTCTTTTTTAAAAAGGACAAGGAAAATATTAAGATTTCGGAATTAATATCCCCTGGTCCTACTCTGGCAAAAAATTTTCCATTTTTGAATTAATATATGAATTAATTTCAAATGCTTAAATCTGTTTTAGAACCATTAAATGTAAAACGTTTTATGACAGCCATTAATCATTTGGGAAATATTCACAAAAATATTTGCCACATGACCTAAATCATGAATATTTAAAGACATAACCACCTGTTGATAATAAGCACTTCAGAAGTGTGATTGTAATTAATTTCACTGTATTTACAAAAATTTTAAAAATCACTATATTGTCATAGTTAGAATTACTTTGATAATTAGTTTTTGGTATCCTTAGTTTTTGTTGTTTAAAAATTTGAACAAAAAATTTACACACAAATGTTTGTATTTGCAACTAAATATAGTGTCCATAGTCATCTAGTTTGATTTATCATTCTGTATAATCAGTTATGAATGATTATTATTTATGATCACCTCTAAAATGTTCACAGCTCAGAAATAAAGAATTCTAAGGTACAGTAAACAACATAGCTACAGAAGGGAAATGAAGAAAATGAGAAAAAATTTTAACACTGAATAATATACATTTAAAAGGTAAATTTCATATAATATGATTTATATTTTAATTTAAAAATATGTCTCAGACATTTCTAAAGCCATGACTAACATCATATTCTAGATTAATTGGTTTCCTAATTGCTACTCATTACTTTAAATAAATATCATGTAGTAATATACATTTTCTATGTTTTTATTATATACAAAATAATTAAATATGGTCATACATTCTGCTAAGAAGATCTTTTAGGTTGTATTATACTAGATTTTATCCTATGTTTTTATTCATTCTCATAATAGAATCAAATTGCCCCTTAAAAAGTAATCAGATACCTGAAGTTAAATTAAGTCATAATCATTTATTTGAAAATAAAGCAATTGTAAAAGAAGTCCCATTAGAGGTAGTTTGTGAAATACATGGGTTGAAATTAGCACCATTTTCTAATGATAGTTTGAATATCATTAAAGTCTTACAATAAAAGTGGGCCTTAGAAGACATCTAACTAATGAAAGGATTTATAAAGTAAAACTCAAAACCAATTCCAGTTCATTGCAAATTAAAATGAAAGTATCATCTTTATTTTAATATATTATATTCCTTTGCATGATGTTTTTAGCTCATTGCTCATTCCATGATTTAATGTATATACGTTTCTATCAAATGCAAAAAGTTAACCAGAGAAATATCCCCTAACAGTAGGTGATATGAAACCACAGCCTGAATATAGCCCCAGTTGTTGCACAATTATTTTCAATATTTAGAATGAAGTCATAATTTTAAAAATTCAATTATATATTTAAGTACATATATTTACACTTTCATCATTATTATAACTTCCAGTGGAAAGTGAAACAGTTTACATACATTTTTCACAATATTTCCCAGTGAGTCCCTCTTTGCAGTGACATTGCTGCCATGACCAGAAATCTGCGCATGTGCCACCATGTTGGCAGGGGTTGCGAGTACAAGCGCCTTCCAGTCTAGGACATCTACAATAAAGTCACAAAAAGGGACATAAAGCACAAACATGATAGAAGAAGGTTTTCTAAAAACAGACATAAGCTTTTATTAACCTGTTTAATTTCAGGCACTCAATTTTCTGAAGCTCAAGTTACAAATACATTTGGAGCAACTAATGAAACTAGAAGTTGTATAAAATATCATCAGCTTCATACTAAAACAGAAAACAAAATAAAAATAACACCTTAACACAAATGTCAGAAAGGGGTGACAATTGCTTTCTTAAATTAATTATGATTCAAGCAATACACTTGGTCAAATAAGCCCTTTGTTTAATATAACACAGAAGCCATATATTTATTTCATTACACAGACTCCTGCAATTAAGGTTTATCGAATGCCTACTATTATGCCAAGCACTGTTTTAAGCATAGAGGTAAAGTGATGAAAGAAAAATTCATGCATTCATGGAGTATTATATTTTCCTGTGTGAGAAACAGACAATAAAGAAAAAGCTGCATATGCAGCATGTTAGAAAGAACAAGTTCTGTGGGAAAATTAAAAGAGAAAGTATATAAGGGCTTTGAGAGGTTTTTCATCTCCAGATTAGACAATGAATGAGGGATTCATCTTTATGGAGACCTTAACAAAGTTGGGGTGTAAAGTATGGTCATGAAAACCCCTGGGCAGAGAAAACGTCAATGAGGAAGCCCAGGGAACAAGGGCAGACCTCCGTGCTTAAGGAGGGGCTGCCATGCTTGTAGCAGAGTGAAGAAGAAGAGCACGTAGATGTGGTGTGGAGGTCCTGAGAGAGGCCAGATCAGGAAACCCTTGTTACTCAGGGTAAGGACTTTGACTCTGCTCTAAGCAGATGGGAAGCTATTGCAACATTTCAAGCAGAGAAATGACAAGAACTGACTTGTGTTCCAAAAATGTCATTTTGGCTGCTGCTGGACTGAATGTGAAATATGACAGAAAGAGAAGAGTCAGAGATCAGCATAAGGTTTTTGGTTCGGCAGCTTCTCATCTAAAAGATGTTTACAATATATTTTTTTAAAAAGTTAAACTAAAAATTAAACTAAAGTTAAAAGAAAATATATTGTGTGAATGTGGAGAATGACATAAAAGAAAGCATATTAAAGTATTAACAATAGTTAGCAATCATGAATCTATATTTTATGTACTCCTCAATCATTAATAATAATGAAATTATGGTACTTTGAAACATAACAATATATGGAAAAATGATGGCAAATTGACCAATTACATTAAAATACTGATTTATAAGTATTAGAAAGTAACACTCCTTTGTGTTTGTAATTTTATTGCTAGAGATCTCACTCCAAAAAATGTCAACAAAGATTTTTGTGAAAATATGTTCATCATAATATCATTAGTATTTTAATAAAATTAGGAAGAACTACAGCATACAACAGTTACAATACAATGATACTAGGCAGTCATGAGCATGACAATAATCAAAGGATATTTGTTTCTGGGTGGTTAGATTATAGGTTTCTAAAAATATTTTTTCTGAATGTTCCCATTTTTACAATGAAAAAGAATAATTTTTAAAATAAAGATAAAATCTGTAATTGTCATAATGCCTAAGTCATTGCATGAAAACTAATAAATTAGAAAAACAGACTTACAGTTCATAGTTAATCTAGGTATTACCTTGTATAGCTATATCAGGATTTTTCTAATACATAAGTCTATAAGTAAAACAATTTCAAATAGTTACATATATATGTACATGATAATTAATATTTACTTATTGTGTCAGGCCTCTTTCTGTATAATGATTTGTCTACTTAATTTATTTAATCTTCCTTGTAGCTCTGCATAAGATAAAAGAAAAGCATGTATGCATACATATATTTTTCTTTGACTCAAGAAAATAAAAAATGTTCTAAATATGTATCATATTTCTTGCCAAATGAAATTTCTCATCTATAAATAAAAACTTAAAATATAAAGTATTTGGTACTCTTAGGGATTTTGGTAAAATACATCTTTTGATGATCAATTAACATATACAGTGCTTTGAATTTTTCTTTAAAATTGTGAGAAATAAAATCTCCATACTGATCTAGGATGCCTTGTGATGCCAAAGCCTGGCTGGGTTCCAAAGGCCTGCCGTTGACTGCAAACTCCATCACACAGCCAACAAAGTCATGGCTTTCCACGTGTCCTCTCCTCTGAAGGATTGGTTCTAGTGATCTGATACCTCCAACTGTGACTCTGTTTGGCTGAACGTCAAGAGTCCTAAAGGAAAAAGGAAAAAGAAGAACTTGAGTGCCAACACCTTTGTTGTTTTAGAAAGTGAATATAGGGCTAGAGAATGCAGCTCAGAGGTAAGCACTTGCCTATTCTGCACAAAGCTATAGGTTTGATCATTCGAACAAAAAGAACAAAAAAGGAATATTTCTTGGATTTATTACTGTGCTCTGCCAAATTTTAGTGGAAAACATTGCAGGTGGACAATGTCTTCTAAACAGATATACACAGCATTCCTTGGTTTTCTAGGTATTAAAATATGAAACTTATTGTTAAGGTTTTTTAATCTAGCTGTCCCCCCAAAGCCTCAGGCACTCATAGGTGGGGCTTTTGGGACGTGTTTGGATCATAGGGGTGTGATATTCACCAGTGGCTTAGCCCACTGATTAAGTTTGTAGCTAAATGTGATGTTGAGAGGGAAAGCCTGGTAGGAGAAAATGGGTCACTGGGGGTGTGGCCTGGATCAGTCTATGTCCCTCCTTTCTCTTTTGATCTCTCTCTCTCATTCCTATCTGCTTGCCATGAGCTATTCCTTCTCTGCAATGCCCTTCTGCCATGCTTCCCTGCCTTAGAGCCACCCTACTATGGACTGAAACCTCTACAAAATGTGATTCAAAATAAATCTTTCTGCCTTTAATTTGTGGGTGTCAGCTATTGTGTGTGAGCAACAAGAAAACAAACAAGACACTTATGAAAATTATATCTTCAGTTAGCCAAATTTGATGTATATAACAATTTTGAGTCAGTGAAAAGGAAGATATTGTCACAGAAAAGTCAAAATGCACAGAAGTAGTAAGAACTCTGATATTTAGGTAAATTGCCTTGCTTTTTGTCTTCAGATATAAGGTATGGCAGCATGTTGATTAATAAAACAGATGATGTGTTGGTATTTTTCTGTTTGTTAATTTCCTATTAAAATTGTTTATGTATTTGATAGGATAATACTGTTTTGAGTTTCAAGTGCCATTAAAATATGTTAATTTTCACACAAACTTTTAGAAAATGTATTTAAAAGAGTTTTGATCCTGATCTTACACTTCCTTTGGGATTCAGGACACATGCAAGTAGTCAATGAATATTTCAAAAAATATTGCTACATTGAACTTCATTTTTTTTAGTTTGATCCTCATCTCTATGATTTATGCCTTTTTAACACAATGTTTTGTACACCAATTAGTAACAATAGTACTTTTATAGTATAAAAATCCTTTCAGGAAAGTAAATATAATTTTATGTAATATTTATAATAATATAACTATTTAAAAATGTATGTTGTGGTGGTTAATATCTAGATATCACCCAGGAGCCTCATGCATGCATAGTGGGGTCTTTTGCAACATGATTAGATTATGAGGTTGATACCTGCTAGGAAGTGGGTCTTGTCAACACAGGCAGGTCCAAGGCCTGTGGGGCATGGTGTGGAAGGGTTTATCTTCCTCTCCAGTTCCTCCCTTCACTCTCTCTGCTTCCTGCTCTCCATGCCCCTTGGTCCTGTCTTTTTGAGTTAGAGCCAGCCGGCAAGGCAAGGACCAAAATTTCTACAAAGTGTGAGCCAAAATAAACCTCTCCTTCTTTAAGTTACAGGTGTCTGGCATTTTGTTCCAGAGATGAGAAAAGTGACTAAAACATATGTGCTTTTAAAATTTCAATTAATAATACAGAGAAAATTAATAAATGTACTTACCAGTCATCAGAAACTGCTACATTACTGACGGTGCAATAGCCTGGTTCTTGGTTCTCAGAGCAGGTGTCCACAGTCAAGGAAGCTGCCTGTACAGAAAGAGAAGGGAAAGGTAGCCTTGCCAGCCGGTGCTATGCTGGACATGTTTCTAGGAGGATGCGATTTTAAAATCACAGTAACATTCTGATTTAATGTATTTTAATACATAACAAGTCATATAACTTACCACAATATCAAATTATGGACACATATTTTTTTGATATGTCTAAGGCTGAAACTGTGATTATCTTTATATATAAGAGGTGAGAGGGGACTTTGAAAAATTTCTGGCTCTCAAATTTCATAGATGAGAGACTAAAAATGTTACTAATCATTCTTAGAATATCATATGGTAGTTCTGGAGCACCTTCCAGGGATTACAAAGTTAAGAAACATGTTTGTACTACTATTCAGTTTGTTCTACTATTAATATTTCTTATTAAATGAAAATGCCTTCAAATTTTCATCTTCAACAGTCTTAATCTCATAATAATTGAGTCATATTTGTAAAACTTATGAAAGTACAGTAAAAATATTATTATAGCAAGCCATGAAAATGTTAATACTTGCATTGAATTTAATCTGAGATAAACTAAAAACTTGAGTAAGTGTCCTCATTTATGTTAAGCATTATCATGTTTAAGTAAAATAGTACTGCCTATTGATGTATAATCAGGATGCATTCTAATATATTGTGCACAGTAGATACTTCCCAATAATATTGAAATCACAAGTGGTAGTTATTTTTGGATCTTAAGTAATGCCATTTGATCAACAAACAAAACCACTGATTTATGGCTAAAAGGTCTAAGAATATGGAAGAGAATTCTTATTGAACAATAACCATTGAGCATGGATACAGTGGCTTCTATCAAACAAGGCCTAGGAGACAAAAGGACAGTGAGAGGGGAGGAAGTTAGGCTTAAGACCAATGTTGTGTATCTTTATTATTCTGGACTCTGCAGTGCTGTTTTCTGTGACTCTCTTGGTCCCTAAACTCAGTTCAATTCACAAATAATGCAACTTTACATACTGTAGATAGTGAAAGTATAAGGATAATATTCAGAGTGTGGTGTTTAGACAATGGTCAGGAAATTACAGGAAGAGGCATTACCCAGATTACAAAAGTGAAGATGGATAAGGATTTCTCCCAGTACAGAAAATAAAGAGTCCTGTCTAAATTTATTGAAATGCCACAAAACAAGGCCACTCCAACTTCGCTGTACTTATACAAGATAAAGACAAATACTATGCAAGGATTTATTCATTGGAATGTTTATCATTTGAGGTTAATTTTATAAGAGCACAGCAAATGAAGAAAGTATGCCACAGGGAGGTTTAAACAAGTTGATTAACAGCCTACCTTATTCACATACAAAGAGGTTAGATATCAAGTTTTGTGTCCTATAAATCAGGACAATATCACTATAGGTGGAAATGATTCATTTCCTTAATATCCCATTTCTATCAATATTGCTTGTGAATTTTAGGGATTTACTCATAGTATGTTTACATCTGTAAGTGTTATGTATCACACCTTAGAAATAATCGAGTTGATTTATAGTAATTGTGCTAGAAATATCAAATATCAAATATTATTATTTTTATTTGTTTATTAATTTTGGGCTAAGTCTCAAAGCCAGGGCCTGGACTCTGCTAAACAAGAGCTTAACTACTGACTTACATATTGAACCTCTTGCTAACTTAAATTTATATATTTGTATCCATTAATTATTATTTCTGTAAAAACTTTTGTATGATACATGAGTTCTTATTTTGCTGCCTCAAGTAATAATAACTACTAACATTTTTTAAATGAACCACTTGTACTTGCAATTGTGTCAGTCCATGCATGTCCTGTTTACTTTCCTCTCTCAATAGTTATGATTTTTTTTCCAAATATCTCCGAAATTAAGTGATATTCAATCTCAAAAGCACTGTGAGGCTTTAATGATACAATTTATGTTGTTTCCATTGTTTAACACATCTCTCTGTACAGGTGCTATAAAAATATACATTCTAGAGATCCTTAAAGCTTTTATAAACTAGAAGGTATCATACAGGTACCTATGAATGACTCAATTAGAAAAATAAAAAATAATTGCATTATATGTTGGATGTTAATATGAAATATATTTTGCTAAATTTCTAAAAGCTTGATGATATAACTCCAAGAATAACCAAGGACGTTGTTGATTTATTTGAATAGCTGCTCATGCAAATTAATCTTCAGAGTTGAATGTTCTTTCTGTTATTGTAGAATTTTTCTTCCACTACCACTGCAAACTGAGAAGTTTCTATCCTGTCAATGCAATGATTAAAAGCTGAGAGCTAATGATTTTGCCGGTTTCCAATAAAAATCATTTTGAACTGTAGAAAATAACAGATTCAAAATCCAGTAGGGAATTTATTTTGAATGTTTTTTGAAATAGGGAGACATTTTTCCTGAGGCTAGAGTAACAATGACAGATTTTTTTTCACATTTAGTATTATATTCAAAACTTGTTGATTATAGTCACATATTACAAATATCTCTTCTGGTGTATTTCACAGTACTTCCTCTTCCACTTCCCCTTGTCCCAAAATTCTTGTTTGATACAAGTAAATTTTTATGATGCTTAAAGGAAGCTTGGAAATCATCAGGTAAAAAATTGTGTAATCTACACAGTAATTTATTTGACATCTCTGAAATACAATTATCTTGTATTTGTACAATTTCTACAATTGTATTTGTACAATTATCTTCCTATGCCTGGAACTTTGAGTATGGTAATATCTGCTATAACTCATTAAAGTCACCTATCATTGTTAGAAAGTTATTATGGCTATATAACTACCAATCTACACATATCAATTACCATATGTTTGTTCTAATTCTATGAGGTTCGATATTCCTGGTTACATCAATCATTGTATCTGATGCCATTTCAAAATACAAAATATTTGACAAAGCAAATGGGAAATTTTATCCTTTGGTAATAGATTTTTTTGTTATCTGTGTTTGGTCTGAAAAAAATAATACCATAAAGTAGCTTCTGTTTTATGTCTTTATGAAATTGGTAACTAAAGAAATGACAAAAATTATAAAAAGAAAAAAAATTAATTATATATTAGTGGAAAATTATGAAACACTTTAAATGTTGTTCTTGAATATTATTTCAGGTATTCTAATAACATAAATTGTTTACAGAATTTAGTGGCAAATTCCTTTCATTCAGTGAATGTACTATTCACTTGGTCAGTCTCAGAGAAAAACAACTCACCATGTTTCTGTTGATTGTTACCGAATGCAGAAATAAAACTATAGTCTTTCAGATCCTGATTTTTTTCTATTAAAAATTAAGAGCAAGACTGGGGATTTAGCTCAGTGGCACTGCACCTGCCTCACAAGTGCAAGATCCTGAGTTCAATCCCGGGTACCGGGAAAAAAAGAAAAAAAATTAAGAGCATTTATTTGGCCAATTTTTCTTTATAAGAGATAATTTAATATTTTGGCCAATTATATTCCTTTTATAGGGAGAAATAAAATTTTAATCATGCATTTAAAAACTCTACGTACATAAATACTTTAAGACAGTTTTGAAGGCATTTATTTATTCAAAAATTCTTGATGCTTCTTACAAATGGAGGAAAAAACAATAAACCATTACTTCTTTACATTATGTCAAATTTTTTCAAAAATAAGGAAATTATGACTCATTTCTTTTTATGAAGAAAACTGTTTAATAAAGCTAATTCATAGAGAAATGTCATTTTTATTATGATAAATTTTATATAACTGATAATTATGTAATATGTGAATCTGCAATATTATACAGTATAATTCTGAAAAACCTTAGATAATAATATAAAACAGCATCTTTATATAGTCTCATATAATAAACTTCATAGATGACAGTATACTGAGATGTTGTAATACGAATGACAAAGAACTATGCTATCTTGAAATAAGTATTATCTTTGGATATTTATTTGTAGGAAAGGCTTCTACCTGTGTTCTTATGCTGTTTCTTCAATTAGGGCAAAAACACTTGGGAAAAAAAAGTAACTATTTTAAGTACTGTCCTGACATAGCATTAAAACTACAGAGGAAATATCAATGGAATTTTTATAGCAGTAGACTATTTTCTTTATTTTATTCTTTTAGTATTTTTAAAACAGCAATGTAGTTAATGTGAAGAAAAGAAAAATTTACTTTTAAGCCTGCTGAAATTCATAACAAGTCAAATAATTAATAACTATAATTTAATTAAATTTGTACTCTAATTGGTGTATTACTTGAAGGACTGATTTGATAGATATACAACAACAATAAAAATAGGTTGATATAAGATGAGATATCTTACCATTCCTGCTCTCCGGGCAATTACAGTGTGAAACTGTCCATCAGACACTTTCTTCATGGTAGTGAGTTTATATGTACCACTGCCTAAATTGTAAGAGAATCTTAATCTTTCTTCAGCAATTTCAAGGGCCAAAAACTCAGCCCGTTCCCCTGTCTGGTTGTCATAGTTGTACAGCAGTAGAGCATGACTTTTGATGGTTGCAAATTTTACATAAATATAGTTGTTATTGGGATCCAAGCTGGGAAATTCCATGTATGATAATTCCTCAAATCCATAACTGTTCAACTCACAGTGCTTCCCAAAGACACCTGAAGGTGGGAAAATTGACACATCAAATTAAGTGGTTTTATTAAGTTATTTTTATAAAAATATTTCAAGCTACAATCATGAATTATTACTTTAATATTTCTGTTATTCTCCAAAGAATATTGTCTAAACAAAAACTGGAATAGAATAAATTGATAGTCTTTAAACTATAGTCTATAGCAGATGATACATAAACTGATGAAGTTTTTTTCCCCCTTTGGCAAATTACAAGACTTATATAAATATGCTCCATTTTGAAAAATTAGGGATAGTGAAATACAGTATGTCTGAAGAGATTTTCTTTCTGGAAAATATTCAAAATAAATTTGTCAATCTTTGAAAGGTTTTAATATGCTGTGATTTTCAACCAAGATACTATCTTCATAATATAAAATTATTAAAAATAATTTCAATTCAGTTGAAGAAAGTAAATGTATTTACTTGGGCTTAAAAACATTTGTTATCTATATTCATGGTATTTTCAAAGGTCACAAAATTAGATAAGGAATCACTGCTTCCTGGGAAGAAAATAAACGTCTACTTTTTTATCACTTTCTCATTTTATGTACCCTTTAAGGAAGATTTATAGCAGGTTACATTAAAATAACTTTCCGAGTTTTTTTTTTCCTGAAATTCAACATTCCCATTTGCTTGTGCTGGTTCTTTTTCCAACTTGAAAAGTGAGTTTTATTGATGTTATAATGCTATGCCAAAATTCTTTTCCCACAAATATTAGTAGACTGTGTCAAATGATTGGAAAATTAACCCATGCCAATGCATCATGATTCTTATTAACTTTCAAAGGTTTCATTCCTAAATTTTGGCTTAATATGTCTTGTAAATGCATTGCATTTATAATCAGTGAATTGTTCAGCTAAAAGGAACCAATGCCACTGTTTTACAGAGTATTTAAAACTTGCTCCAGGTCACAAAACCATGGGAAATATAGACAAAACATGAAGCCAGATCTCCTAATCTAATGTACTTATTTTGACTGTATCACATTTTATATCCACTCTTTAAATTAAAATGGTTTAGAGGCGTCTATAAAACCTAGTGTCATTTATCTTGTCCTGTTTTGTGCAGCCAAAAATGATATTCATCATAAATGAATAGGATATATATATATAATTTATTTTGAAATTATGTATACTTTAACTGAAGTTAAAGAGAAGTCAAAAAGAAATATAGGACTGATGGATATTATGTGTAATATATTATATAGTATAAATTTATTTTATATATCTAGGTTTATTAAATTTATTATATAATAGTTACTTTTGTATATTTAATTGCATATGATTTCTATTTATATTACATTTATTTATATTAACTAGTTATTCTATTATATATACATTATTTCTATATGCACAAAGGGTAATTGTAGTGAAAGAATGAGTAGAGATAAATAATATATATTTAAATAGAAAGATTATTGAAGAAAAATTTGTACTATTTATTTCTTTAGGTTTCTACTGATCACATTTTTCACCTCTAAAATTGTAGTTAAAATTTCAATGGGATATTTGCATAAAGTATATAAATATTGAAAGGATCATTTACAAATTGGTACTATGTTTTCAAATACTAAAGTATTTACAGATTTTCTTCTCTTTTAAGGGGTTATTGGTCCTACCAAAAAATAGTTCCTTGTCTTTTATAAAAATAAAATTTAATGAAGTTCTTAAACTTGTCTTCCAAATAGAATGCCACAAAACAAATCTAAAGAATGTCAAGAGAAATTTTAAGTTACTCTAATAAAGGATGTACACGTATAATGTCCTTTACTAGAGTAAAATATATGACACTTACTAGTTTTAAACCATACACATATATACATATATATGAATTGTGTGCATATACAAGCATAACATAC